GAGCTAAACATCTCTTCTAAGTTCCCATAGCTTCAACTCTATATCTGTATAGATGATCAGTTACATAATTGGTGGGGGAGCCTTATTTAAAAATAATTTATCACTTCAAGAAGAAAATTTCAGAGCATCAAATCAAGCATAGGATCCTTGTGAGCATGGCTGCATGGGTTGCTTGCCCAGGAATTCTGGCCTGCCTCTGTATTCTGTCTCACCCTGGAGATTTTGAGATCCTGGAGAACGAGGATCTTATCTCAGTCGTCTATCACCCCAGCTCTCAGTTCAGTGCCTGACGTCTTGCAGGCCCTCAGCGACCCTCTGTTACACACTGCCAAGTTTCCATCCAATGTGCTAAACACTCTATACAAGGTATGGAGTGTCTGTAACCTTTCTGGGCAGAGCCACACCATTCTTATCCCCAATCTACAGATGAGAAAACTGAGGCATAGAGAAGTGAAGCAAATTTTTGGAGTCATATGACAAAGAGCAAGGATTGAGACTTAGGCATGACTCAGTGGTTCTCAACTGAGTGTGCCCTCCACCACACCCCACTGTAGGGACATTGGCAATGTGTGGTTGACAGTTTTGGCGGTCACAACTGAGAGGTGCTACTGGCATCTTGGTGGGTAGAGGTCAAGGATACTGCTGAACATTCCACAGTGCACAGGGCGGCTCCCACAACCAAGAGTCGTCCACTCCAACATGTCGTGGGTCCTGAAGCTCAGAGCCCCTGTTCTTCCTAAAACCTACACTTTGTAGATTTCAGTACCAGACACTTCATATTGTTTTCTTTATCAGTATTTCATAAACACATACTGTGATGTATTTATTATTTTTCTTAAACTGACTTTAAATTAATGAACTTAAAGGAATTAACTACACTTTAAGCACTTACGGCCGTGAAGCCATGTGTTGGATGTCATTATTTATTTTTGTTTTTGATACACATTGAAATAACTGCAAAACTATGAAAAGATATTTCTCGGGGTGCCACCAAAAATCATCTCACGCGTCACCTCCAGTCTGGGGGAACTATACCTCAGACCCGCTTCACTTCTTCTCTAAGGCTTCCCTTATCTGTTCAGAACAAGAGAACCAAGCATATCTAATGGGGGTGCTGCTTGGACCTGGCAAGGTGCTGGCGCCCTTTAGGCTTCTGTTAGAGGAAGTCATTGAGAAGACAGGATCGGAGGTTGACCCCTGAGCCGGACCCAGGTGATGGGAGGCTACTCAGCCCTCTGCTGTCCTTGAAATGTACCTTTTGCCCACTGCTCCTGCGCTCTCCAGGCCTTGAGTGAGTAGGTGTTGAGACCGTTTTGGATGGCACATGGGCAGGTGTGGAGATCTCGTTTTACAGCACCCAAGTAGGAAAGTTCCCTTGCTAGTTAAACCTGTCACCTACCCTTCTTCCATCTCTCCTTACCCTCTGTAGTTGGGGTCGATTTCAGATGGTGCCCTGGACGTTTCTGAAGTTTTAAATCCACAGCTTCTGTTTAATTTCACCCCCGCTCAAGGCTTACGGTTTCTTAGAAAACTCTTTGAAACCCTGAAAGCCACCTGATGAGGATGATTTTGAGGGCCACAGCACAAATGATCTAATTTGTGGAGTTGCTTGTGGACAAGGGTTGCCAGTCCTGGTGAGCACATGTCCTTTGTCACGTGGCTGTCTCCCCTAAGTGCTGGGGAGTACAATTGCATTCTCTTCGTTACATGCACTGTAGTCTGACATAATTAAGGTGAGAGCAAATGAGGTTCTTCTTTGGATATTAAAAGTGCCTGCGTTGTAAATAATAATGTCATCATTACTTTCTTAGAAAGCACGTTCATTAAGAGCGGCATTTTAACTTCAACACATTTGCATGAATTCATTTGGGTAGTGGTGGGAGGGGTGGCATTTGATGATGATTTTTCATCTTTCATGAACTTGCCAGGTGTTTCTATAATATTTACTCCCCGTTGATCCCTCCCCCCACCCACTGCCGGAAGCCCTGAAAGATATCCCAGAATGGGGCATGTCTCTAATAATCACACATCTGTTAGGAGACAGTTGACTCTTTGCTGGCTGGAAATACCCAGAGGACATCAACTCTTTTCTCTTGAAAAGTGAAATGAACCAAGATGATTCCTCCCACTTCCAAACAATTTTCAAATGTTTGGGAAACAGGCTCCCGCAATATTCCAGAGGGCAATGGCAGCCACGACAGGCAGGACCAGAGGGAATTTGATTTGGGCAAAGCTCCAGGAATGGGAGGCTTAAGGTTTGGAATCTGGCAAACAGCGCAGGGTGGGTCTGGCTGGCTTCTCTGGGCAGCAGGGCCCTGCACTCCCTTTGTCACAGACAGGGGGCAGTCTCTCTTAATTAGGGCGGGGAGCAGCAGGCAAAGCCAGTCTCCTCTGAGGACCCAGCTCAAATGTCCAGGTGACAGGCAATATTTTACAGAGACTGGATTTCATTAACGTTTTTTTCCTTTTTTAAAAATTAAATTTATAAATTCCCTAAAACGCCAACCCTTGTGGGAAGGTGTCTGTGACTTATGCTCCCACCAGCTTCTTGCCCTTCTCTCTCAGTCCTGATGCAGGTTGGGAAGCACCAGGGTTGAGTGCAGCGAGGCCGGACCAGGAGACCAGAGACTAGAAGTCTGGGGGTCTGCATCCAGCCCTGGCTTTCAGGGCAAGGCCATTTGCTGGCCTTGTGACCTTGGACAAAGTCCTTAATCTCTCCAAGCCTCAGCTTTCTGGATGGTAGCAAGCCTGCTGGGGCAGCTCTTTGCAATTCTGACTTCGCATGTAGGAATATGCAAGCCCCTCTGGAGCTGTCCTGTGGCAGAAACTCCTCTGTCCCTGACTTGTGTTCCTTTTTTTCTTGGTTTAAGACAGGTCTTGCATGGAGATTCTTAGTTAATTAGTGCTTCCCTGGGTTCTAAACGTTGGGGGACTCTATAAGAGTTGGGGCCATTTCTGTCACAAAGTTACATTTCAGTATGGGGACACCGAGAGAATAAATGCCTCATATGTCAGGTGGATAGAGTCTGGAGGCCTATTTTTCAGGGGTTAGAACATGGACCCATGAGTCAAATTTCTTGGGTCAAAAGCCAACTGCACACTTCTTTCCGGAGCTGGGCAACTTGTTTAATTGCTTTGGGCCTCAGTCTCTCCCTCTGTTGTATGGACCTGGTTATATTTCCTAATGGATAGAGTGAAATGAGATCTGTCACTCAGTGGTTAAGCACATATTCACAGATTGTCTGTTAAGTGCTAGGCACTGCTCTAAGCAGCTGTGAGGAGCAAGCTTAGTGGGTATGTCGCAAGCACTGAATAAATGTCAGCTATCATTAGCTCTCACACACCAAAGCTGTGTTTGTAGAGACTGGTGGTGGGTGTGGGTCCACAGACATGTCACACTGGCTTATTTGGGGGACCCCACTGCAATGAGTCCGATGAATTTAGACTCCCAATCTCACACCTTGTCCAGGTGGGTTTGGGAGTCTTCCGGAACCGACATATTCCTGGATATGCTCTGTCGATGTTGCTCTGGTGTGTTTGTGCTGGAACAGCATCATTCTCTGCAAGTCTTTGGGAAGATAGTAAGTGACATTTCTTCAAAGAGAAGGCACAGTTAGCTCTCATGCTGAAAAAGCCTGCAGTAGAGCCCGATACACCCCCTTGCTTTGTCATTTAAGGGCACCCGAGTATGTCATTTTACTGGCCCAGCTTCTTGGTTCCTTGAAAATGCCCTGAGGGGAGCATGACTGCAGGCAGCCAAATGGAGAGGAGAGTGGTGGAAACATCATACCACTGCAAACAGCCCAGCTGACTGCAAAGTGTATACTTAGTTAATGCAATTAAAAAACAAAAAGCAGGGGCGTGTGGAAATCTAAATTTGGTGTAGCAGCTTTGGTACCAATCCTGTTTCGGGGGCTACTGGAGTCAAATTCAAGCAGAGGAGAGGAAGAAGTGGGAGAAATGGGAGAGGGCTGAAGGATGCCTGGAATCAGCTGAGTTGAGAGAGGGCGACGCAAGGCTGAAAGCCGAGGAAGAAAGGCCAGCTCCGCAACCCGGGTGAGGATGGCTGGGAGTGGTTTGGGGGGCTTGGTGGGAAGAGGAGCCAGCCCAGAGTCTGGCGACTGATGCGCGGGCTCCAGGTCCGGGAGGGTGGATGAGACGGGGTGCGCAGGCCTTGCACTGCACCAGATCTGGGCACGCAGAGGCGGCGCAGTGGTGTGCCCTCCAGTGGAGCGCAGGGAACGCTGCGAGGGTGAAGAGGGACATAAAATTGGCAAGTCGGGGGCCTGGGAGAGTCCCAGGGAAAGACCATCCGGGGCATGCCCCGCCCTTTTCGGTTGCCTCTCCTTACCCCCTGCACCTCAAGCCCCTCTCCGGGGATGCTCAGCCCGGGCCCCGGGCTTCCCACCCAGTCTTCCCAGATCAGCCTTGGTCTTTGCCTCGGCCCAAAGAGTTGAGCCATCTGGGCGGCGTGTTTGGCTGGAGCATGAAGGGCAAGGCGGCCCCGCGCACCTGGGAGGGGAGATCCTGATCACACGGAGCTTCAGTTTGTGTTGGAGTGTAAGCCAACTAGTGTGTCCCTATCTCCTCCGAGTCGCCCTTTCGCTGTTGGGTAGAGTGGAGCAGCAGCAGATCCTGCGCCTGCACCCCTGAAAAAGCAATGGGTGGAGCCGCCTCTGCGAGGTGAACAGGTCTGAGCCGCGCCTCCAGCTCAGAGAGGTGCGGGAGGTCCTGCCGCCGTCCTCCACCTGCCGGGAAATCCAAGCTGTTCCTTCTGCGGCTGCAAACCTCCTTCCTTCCAGCTTGCCAGGCTGGCTCGGTTGTGCACGCCCCCCAACTCCCTCTCGCCAGCCCGCCGGGAGTCACCACCTCTCCCGCGCCCCCGCCCCGCGAGCTCGCGCCCGCCCCCCCAATCCAGCGCCTCCTCTGCCCGCCCTCCTCCCCTCCCCCTTCTCTCTTGCCCTCCCTTCATTCCACAAGTGTCGCTCCGCTCTCTCCAGCGCACTTGGCAAGCTGAAGAGGTGAGAGGGATCCTGCCAGCGGGCGCGGGGCTGTGAGTCTGGAGCCTACAGCCCAGGAGTGGGGTGGACATACCGACTCTCCCTTGCTTTCCGGCCCCCGCTTCGCCTTGTAGCCAGCCGGACCTGCACCCCGCGCTTGTCCCCACTCACCCTCCCCCCGCCCAGCCCCGCGCGCTCCTCCCCGGCCAGCCCCTCGGCGCGCAGCGCACTGGAGGCGAACGCGGGCTGAGTCGAGCGCTGTGGCCACCGACCACCAAGCGCCCCGTGCCGCTCCCTGCATGTGCGGCCCGAGGCGGCTCGCAGCCTCCGGCAGCAGCCTCGGCAGCTTCGGCCGCGCTTCGAGAGGCGGCTGCAGAGGCTCCAGAGGCGGCAGAGCAGCCGAGCCCGGGCTGGGAGACACGATGCGCCGCGTCCTCCGGCTGCTGCTCGGCTGCTTTCTCACCGAGCTCTGCGCCCGCGTGTGCCGGGCGCAGGAGCGAGCGGGGCACGAGCAGCTGGCGCAGCTGGGCGGCGTGGTGGTGCTTACTGGGGGGAACCGCTCTGGGGCCGCCTCCGGGGAGGCCGGCGAAGGCGCAGGGGTCTCAGACGCGCCCCCGACCCGGGCGCCCACGCCAGACTTCTGCCGGGGATACTTCGATGTTATGGGCCAGTGGGACCCGCCGTTCAACTGCAGCTCGGGCGACTTCATCTTCTGCTGCGGGACTTGTGGCTTCCGGTTCTGCTGCACGTTTAAGAAGCGGCGTCTGAACCAGAGCACCTGCACCAACTACGACACTCCACTCTGGCTGAACACCGGCAAGCCCCCCGCGCGCAAGGATGACCCCCTGCACGACCCCACCAAGGACAAGACCAACCTGATCGTTTACATCATTTGCGGGGTGGTGGCCGTCATGGTGCTCGTAGGCATCTTCACCAAGCTGGGACTGGAGAAAGCGCACCGGCCCCAGAGGGAGCACATGTCCAGGTGGGCTGCCCCCCCCCCCCCCAGGGCGCTGCTCTCCCTTCTTTCCCTTCTCCACCTTCCCCAGACAATGGCATCCCCCCCCCCAGTGTCTCTGCTGGGAGATGTCACTGGGGGCCCAACTTAGGTTCAAAGAGGGGGCGCTGGGCTCTGCATAGGGGTGGATATGAGTGTGTGTGTGTGAGTTGTGTGTGTGGGGTCGTTCCCTTCCTTCTCCCCGCCCTGAAGATTGAAGCGGACTTGAGGCACGCAGCTGGGAGACCATGGCCCCGAAGTCTTGGGCTTGGGGGGGGGCACCCCTTGGATTCCAGATAGTAGTCTAGGTTAACAGGGACCAGCGGGCGGGCCAGAAAGGGAAGGGGGTGTGTGTGAGTCCGAGCGCGCGCGTGTGTGATGTATGGAGGGAGGGAAAGGAGTGTGTGCCGCCTGCAACTCAAGGCTTGGGAAAAGGAGGCGAGGGAGGTGGAGAGCCGGGGAGGGCTAGAACAAAAGCCTTGTTTGGAGCGGCCGCCTCGCTTTCCCTGAGCTGCCTGGTCCTTGGATTCAGGAACTCGGCTGTCTGTGCACCCCACAATTCACACTCCCTGCTCCCCTCGCCCTGCCGCCGACTCTCTGGCTTCTTTCCTCTGTCACCACCTCTCCCTGCACCCCATGCCCAAGCTGGCATAGACTTCAAAGGCCTGAGCCCCCGCCGCGCGTGCCGCCAACCGCCCCCCCCCAACACCCTGATTCGTCAACTTTTCCGTTTGCCTCATTCATTATGCAAGTCCCAGCACGAGGAAGTCGCAGCAGATGGAAGAAGGCATTTGGGGATTAATGGAGCTATTTGCCTTTTGCTTTCTTCTTTTTTTTTCCTTTTTCTTTAAGTGTCTAAATTGATTCGCACAACCCAGTAACTTTGGAGGCGAGGACGCAGCGGCGAGGACGCAGCCCCCTCCCCGGAGAGGCCGGGGGTTGGTGTGAGGTCCGGGTGAGGTCCGGGTGGGGTTTGAAGAGCATCAGGCGACTTGCGAACTGCTGGATGGCTGGGGTGCACGCTTTATCCTCTTTTTGAGTACTGGTAATGGAGTTGCCATGTGTCCCCCCTCCCCACACACACAGGCGTGCGCGCGCCCGCACACCCCACACCTCCGCCAGGGCCTGTGTATGTACGAGCTCTGGAAGCCTGTCTAAAAAATCTGAACAAAGAGCTCCAGCAAACATAGGCGAAGGGACATCACCACCTCACTAGTTATTATTTTTTATTGACACGTAGAGTATCCGATGACTTTTTTTCTTCCACAGGGGAGGGCTTTGACGGGGGAAGAGGTGAGGAAGTTCCTCTTGATTTGGGTCAGCAGGGAGGTGTGGATGATGGTGAAGTCTTGAAGCCCAGAAGTGAGCCCCGAGGGCGTGCTGATCTACTCTAGGAGTAACGAGCTGGCCACGCCCCCCTCCTGCAACCCCTAGGATGCTGGGTTGCCAACCACACTGGGCTGGGGGGTTTCAGTTCGCCCAGTGCCCGCCATCGCTGTGGATTCCCGGGGTCTGTGTTGAGGTGAGGGTGAGATACGCAGGCAGGACTGCGGCAGCCCAGCCGGTGTCGCCTGGGCAGGGAGAGATTGTCCTAGGAATAGGTAGGCTGCCTTGCAGGTTGGGTTAATTCCTCCGCTGAAACCTTCACTGAGCACTGTCCTTGCAAACCAACGGGTGAAGGAGACCTCCTCAGTGCTGGATTACGGGGAAGAGGGGTTGGTGGAGAGGGGAGGGAGGAGGAGGGAAAGTGGGAGAAAAACCAACCTTTGCACACCTATGGGAAAAAGTGATCTGGGTTTTCTGGTTGATATAGCACATCACCAGGCACCTAGGGCCCAGCAGGGATTCAACTTGCTGGCCCCCTTGCAGCTCTGTTAGGGGAAAAAAGAGTCACTCCAGCTCAGCAGGTTGCTGCCACATTCTTCTGCTGGTAACAGCAAAGGTCTGCGGGGAGGTGGAATCTAGGGGTACCCAGTCCTCTGTAACAACTTCAACACAGGATCGGGAATTTCAGAATGGAGTGTAAGTGTGTACACCTGAAGAGAAAGAAGAGTTGATTTCTTTTTTTTCCTGGCAGCTTCCTAACTATGGTTTTCAACCCTGGCTGCTGTTTAGAATCACTGGGAATGCAGTAAAAACAAACAAACAAAAAAAAATCCCCATCCTGGACTTCACCCTAGATAAATAAAAATCTTTAAGGGAAGGGCCTGAATGTCTGTCCATTTGTAAAACTCTCCAGGCTTACAATATTCAGTCAAACACTGCTGAGGAAAAGGAAGTAACATTTGCTCAGCACAGTTCTTGGTGTCAGACACTGCAGTAGAGTGTGTGTGTGTGTGTGTGTGTGTGTGTGTGTAAACATTCTCTTATTTCTCACAACTACACAATGAAACAGGTGCTATTTTAACTCCCACTTACAAGGTCGGGTGGCTTGCCCAAGGTCACACAGTTAGCAGATGGTGCACTATTGAGTCCCTTGGTTTCTTCTGTGTCTGGGACAAATGTTTTCAGATGCAGCAAGCGTTAGAGTTTGGGGGAGCTTCCTAAAATGCACATTCTTGAGTTCTATCCAGAGAAATTCTCAATCAAGGGGTCTGGGATGGACCACCCAGGCTGCATTTAACAACCCCCCTGAACGGCTGATAATAAGTGGCTCACAGTTGGAGAAAGACTGTCCTTGGGTTTGGGAATGTTTCGCAGGGCTAGGGAATGGATGAATCTACCCAAGGTGACTCTCATGTGCATGCTGGTGCTTGTTTTCTGCCCTTATATAGCCTTGGTGTGCATTTCTGTGCTGCTGGGGCTGCCCCAAGTCCTCACCCAGTGCACCTTTGACTGTTTATGCAGGAAATCATTTCCAGTCCCAGCATAGCAAGGGGTTCATTAGTCTGCAGTGGCTTAGGGATGCTTGGGTGTGGCCGACATTCCAAGTCTGGTGTCAGAGAGGCTGTCAGGTGTCTTCCAGGTGAAATTAATGTGCTGGACACAGCCTCTTAATTTGTTTCGTCTTGGGCTGTGAGGGTCACTGAGATGGGGGGATTGTTCTCTTATCTGAAAGCAGCTCCCACTCGGAGACGTAAAGCGTGTTGTCATAGCTCCCATGTCAACAAATTGCTGCTCCTGGTGACCTCTGTGTGTGTGTGTCCCCAGAAGAGGCCTTTGTGATGTCAGTTTTTAGGCTCATAGTCCTGGGCATATGGCCTGCTCCCTTCTGCACTGATTAGGACTGAAAACAGGAAAAAGACAGTAATTTCAGGAGGGGGGTGTACGTTGCACTTGATGTTGTAAGAACTATACAGATGTCCATTCAGCAGCTGTAGCAGCAGTTACATTCAACCACTATTGGGAAAAGTGCCTGCAAGTGGCTGGCTATGGTTATCCAACCATGCAGACATACTATGTTCGGTCTGCGAGTTATTTCTAATAGTTCTATAGTTTTATTTTAAAGTTTTTCTTAATTTTTTATTTGTGAAACATTGTAAACATATAAAAACTTGAAAGAATAATCAGAATGAACACCAGTAGATTCTTTTCATAGACCCGGGTTCCTCACTCTCGGTACCATCTGACTTCTGGGGCTTGAGAATCCTGGTGTGGGGCCTGTTCTGTGCGCTGCAGGATGTTCGGCAGTGTCCTTGGACTCTACCCACTAGGTGCCAGTAGCACCCACCCCACAACCCAGGCATGACAGCAAAAAATGTCCTCAGACACAGCCAAATGTCGTCTAGGGGCAGAATCATCCCCAGCTGAGAACTACGAATACAGATTGAACAGTTATTAGTATTTTGTCATATTCGTTTTATTGCTATCTCTCTCCAAATATTCCTTTCATCTTCCCTTTCTCCCAGCCCCACCCTTTTTTTTGCTTTATGGCTGAAGCATTTGAAAATAAGTTGCAGACATGACACTTTGTCCCTGACTACTGCAGCATGGATCTTCTAAGAACATTCTCCCACATAACACAATTCTGGTATCACATCCAAGAAAAACAACAAAAAATCCATACTATCATCAAAAGTCCAATCATACTAAACATTTCCCAGTCATAGAAAAAAAAGTGTCTTAAAAGTGTCGTGTTTTTCAGTCCCTGGCTGGTGTGGCTCAGTGGACTGAGCCTGCGAACCAAAAGGCTGCTGGTTTGATTCCAGTCAGGGCACATGCCTGGGTTGTGGGCCAGGTCCCACGTTGGGGGCCTGAAAGAGGCAACCACGCATTGATATTTCTCTCCCTCTCTTGCTTCCTCCTGCCCCCTCTCTCTGAAAATAAATAAATAAAATCTTTTTGAAAAAGTTTGGTGTTTCAAACCAGAATCCAGTCAGGGCTCGTTGCATCTGGCTGTGAAATCCCTTTAGTCTCTATGATATGCGGTGTTTTAAAACCAACTCAGAACCAATTGCCAATGTTTAAAATCTGGGAGATTTCGCACAGAAATCCAGATTTCTGATTTCTCTTGAGAAATTGGTAGGGCGGCAACACTGGAAGTGCATTTTCATATGGCAGCTCTTGGTTGCTGCTGAGTGGTGCCTGCCCCATTTAGGAAGCTCTCAGGTTCACCTCAGTGTCCACCCCACCCAATTCACTTAGTGATGTGACGTGCAGTCCCTGGAGAGGCAGCCAGGCCGACCTTAATGGCCTGGGCTCAAGTCAGATGGCTCAGATTCGATCCCAGCTCAGCCACTTAGTAGCTATGTGACCTTGGGAAAGATACTTGGCCTCTCTGAGCCTCAGGCTGTTGAGTGTAAAATGAGGTAATGATGATCCCTATGTCATAGGTTTGTGTGAAGGTTTACTGGACTGAGCGTGGAAAGCTCTTAGCATAGGACCTATCATATGGTTGCTCAGCAACCATTCCCCTTTTATCATCATCCTTGTTAGGAATTTTTTTTTTACCTCGTGTCTACTGAAGAGGGTAATGTTGTAGTCTGGAACACAGTTCTAGCCTTTGCTCTGTTATATATATTTAGTTGTGGGACATTGGCCAAGTCTCG